GTTGGTAAACATTTATCAGCACATAACTGAGGTAATATACATACGTAAAAATGCAGAAACCACAAGTGTCATCTCCATATAGTCTCCTAAAGTGAACATATTTGTGTGACCAGTACTCAGACGCAACAACAGACAATGAGCAGCACCCTCTCATACCCTGTTCCACGGGCTGGTCCCTTCCACCGTGCAAGGCTAACCTCTGTCCTGACCTCCCCAGTACCTCCTAGAAGCTATGGGGGGCTTCCTGCAGCCCCTCATTCCCGTAGGCCCCCTGCTGCATTTTGGTGTTAGCATCTGGGTATTTCTTTTCTCATGATCCTGTCTTATATATTTTAATATTACACTATGAATACAGCATCACTGGGAAAACTAGAAAACACACACACGGAAGACATACATCTCTGGTGGCAGCTGCCTGCTTGCATTGAATCCTCTGGGCAGGAGATGAGATTGGAGTCCTCTTGGTCTGATGCCAAGCCCAACGCCCTGACCAGAGAGGGGAGGCCAGAGCGAGACCTGTCCGAGCCACGCAAGTTAGTGTGGCACTAAAGGACTGCTGGGAGGCTCTGAGGAGCACAGAGGCAGGGCCAGCTGTGCCCCTTAGGAAGCTCACACGCTGCAACAGGCGGGCAGAGGCTGGAGGCAGGGAGCCCAGCCTGAAGGCCATTGCTGATCAGGAATGCAGAGATGACGGTGTGGCCCGAGCTGGGACAGCATCTTTCTGAAGGTCATTTTCCCACGTATAATTGTTCCAGAGCCTCTGGAAAGGGAATTGTCCCTGCAAGATACTGTCTCCTAATCCCCAGTTCAAGTGTCCTCTCCTAGCATCTGGGTTAAGAGCACAGGCTCTGCAGCCAGGCATATCTGTGTTTGAGGTCTGCCTCGATACTTGCTAGCTGTGTGACCTTGGAAAAGTTACTTGCCTTCTCTGAATACTGATTCACTTCTGTACTAAATACGAATAAGGATAGCTTCAGCCTCAGTGGAGGTTGTGATTATTAATTAATCTGTAGGAAGTACTTGATTCATTGTAAGCGCTCAATAAATGTTAAATGCCACTGTTGTATCATCTGCCTGACGTGAAAGAAGGGAAGAGAATTTCCCAAATGGTTGTACCGTTTTCATAATCGACCCTGCATGTTTGCTCTTCTGCTTGGGGTCCCAGTGGCTTCTGCAAGGGAGCACCATATGTCCGAGGGGTTATTTGGGGGCCCACGGCGAAATAGAAGGGAGCAAACAGTGCCTGCGACATTGCAATATTTCTGTTCATAGAACCCAAAAGGAAGCAGTGAGCAGAGAAGGTCAGAGACAAAGGCCAATTTCATAGTGCTTTCACGGCAGCCCCGGAGGAGAAAAGCAACAGGCAGGTGAGCAGAGAAAGCAGCTCAGGCCTCCCTCCTCCTGGCTGAAGGGCAGAAAGGGCAGGGATGGAGTCTGTGCAGGCAGGGGCCAGGCTCGGCCCTCCACAGGATGGAGCTTGGACCTCCTGTGATGTGCCGGCCGACATGGCCCTTCCTGAGGTGGGCGCTCTGTCCCCACGTCCTCTCCAGCGAGAAGCCCCCGACCGGCTTGCTCAGCAGCAGGCCTCACGGCGCCCACATGCAGGGCAGGCAGAGAGCCTGAGATCAAGGCATTCAGAGCACAGTCTGCGACCTTGATGGGCTTCTTCAGCCTCGTCTACCTCAGTTGCTTCGCAGGTGAACGAGACAAAATGATCATCCCCACTCCCCAGGGTGCTGTGAAGACGGCAGGGGACAATTGCACGTGCGGGGTGTCCCCAGCCCCTGGCACGTAGCAGGCTCCAGGTATGCAGGTCACCCCTCTGCAGCCCTACTTCTCTCTCCTTAGGCGCCCCTACCTTTCCAGTCTCATGCCCTGATCTCTCTTCTGTACCCTCCAGGAATGCCAAGGAGAGCTTCTGCCACCTTAAAATGCCCATAAAATTCCCACTTGCTTGGCATTGATTTTTCAGCAAATCCGAACATTTGTTTTTCTGAGTCTCATGTTTTGGATAAGTTGCTGGCCTCACACTGGTCCCCCTTTCAGGGTGGCCCTAATGACCATCCTTCCATCTGGTCTTGCCTCCTCCATGCAGCCTTCCTCATCTCTCCACACACAGAAGCCCTTTCCCCAGACCCTCCACAGATGCTGGGGCCATAGCTTCCATGTAGGGAGGCAGCGAAGGAGGCTGGTCACGCCAGTGTCCACCTGCAGCACTGCACGTGGCTCAGGGCTGGCAAATGGCCCTGTGCATTCCCCCTTTCTCCCCACCTCCTGCCTTTTCTTCCTTCTTTCCCTCCCTCCAGCTCTCATTTCTTCTCGGGGGAAGAGAACAAAAGGAGGGCAAGCAACAGCCCGTGGAAGCTGCTGGAGAGACCCCATTCTTGGCCTGACACCCCCCCTTCAGCTGTGCCCACCCGGGTGCTCCCAGCGTGGTGCTTCCCAGAAGCTCCTGGTGCTGCCACCAGGAACACCCGGCAGGGCCGCGGGCAGAGTTGGCAGGGCCTCCATGCTGTCAGAGCCCCAAACGCTTTCCCTTTTTGCTCGTCCCATGAAATTCTGGGCCGCAGAAGAATGGGGACTTGAGGTCGTGGGCCTTGGTTCTAAACGGCCGGCTCCCCCTGGGCTGGCCTGGGCGGTCCTGGCCGGGCCTCCCGCCCTTTGCCTCCTGCCTGGGGGAGGGAGGGGAGGAGAAGGGCAGGTGGTGAGACGACCAGTGGAGGGGGGTTTCAGCGTCTGTTTGTGCAAATTTGGTGGCAGTGAGATCTAGCGTGACAAAAATCCCGGTGCAGGCTTCAGGGACCTGCCTTCTAACTCTGCCTCCGAGTCATCGCCCCGGTGACATTTAAGGAGCTCCTTCCCCTCTAAGCCTCAGGCTTCCTTTCCGTGTAGTGAGGCTCGGCCTATTCTGGGTTTTCTAAGGCTTTTTACGGTCTGACACCGTGTCCCATTTCTTTACCTCACTCAGCCACGGCGGCACCCGCCAGGAGTCTCACTACAGACAGGGCTTCCCAGGCAAGGCCTGAGGGGTTTCTAAGGCAGCCCCTGTTTCTCGTCTTCTGGGTCCCCACAACTCTGCTCTCCTGTGGCACGTCCTGGGCTCCCTGCCGCTAGGTGCTGTGGAGAAGCGTTTCAGCCATGGCATTGGTGGGGCTGTCTGAATCCTGGCTGTGTGCCCTTGACCAAGCTACAGAATCTCTCCAGGCCTCAGTTTTCTCACCTGTGAAATGGAAATAATGGTATTGACCGCATTGGATTATTTCGAAGATTAAATGCTATAAAGCAGGGCAAGTTCTAACATAGTCCCTGGAACATAGTAAACCGGTGATGAATGCTCTCATCATCATCATTCTCATCACCATCATTGTTACTGTTATTTGCCAGCTCCCTTCTGTCATTTCAGGTAAAGAAAGTCCCCCAGGATCTGAGCGGGCAGCTGTGCAGGTGGCCAGCTACTCCTGGCTTCAGCCCCCTCTGTGCACACCCGATGAGGGGGCTCCTAACTAGACCCCCAGCTTCAATGCACAAGTCCTCCAGCGTGCATTGTGCCAGGGCCCCCAGTGAATCGCCAGCGTATACACCTGTGGGCTGCTGTGACGATAAGAGGTCCTGCTTGCACGGCACTTGGCCCGGGGCCTGCGCATGGCCCTCAGCAAACCGCAGCCAGCAGCTAGCAGCCAAACTGCTGGCACTGCTGCTGGCATCAGCCACGTCTGAGGTCACGCTGCGGCATGGTGAGGGACAGGGGTCAGACAGACCTGGGCTTGGACCTGATGTGGATTTCAGACAAATCTCTCAACCACTCTGACCCTCCATTTTCTCATCCATATGATGAGACTAGCGCTGACCTTGTCACAGGTTTGTTAGGAGGATTAAAGGATCACAGCACAGGTAGGAGGTTTGCATGAGACTGGACATGCCAAGTTCATATTGCATGTTGAATACAGATGGGTTCCTTCCATGTATCCACGCCACCCCCATAGATGCCCCTCTTTTCCTTGGGAGCCTTTGTCTGGTCTCCACGCCAGTGTGGAGGAGGGAAGAGTCTGGATACTCCTCCTTTCTCTGCTCCTGTCCCAGATGCCCTCAGCTCCGCGCTTGGCCCCATGCTGAATCCATCAGGCAGCTGAGAGACAGGAAAATTCACAAGGAAGGGCCACACGCTTCTGTGCAAAGTGTTTTTTGGTTTTTAATTAAAAAGAAAATAAGAAAAACAACACTTCCCAGGGTGTGCTGTGATGAAATATCACAGGCATATAAAGCACATACAACAACAAGAAGGAAAAAGAGTCCCTGGAGCTGCACGCAGAGACCCCCTACGAGGCGGCCTGGCCCAGGGCCCTCCCTTGAGGCCATTGTTTTCACAGACAAACGTCTTCCTCTCCCAGTCTATGAAAGAGGACGCACTTACCCAGCCTGGCTTCTCTTGGAAGGCTCAGCCACCTCCAGCTCACTGGTCCATGACGTGCACACAGGCAACTGGGCTTTAAAAGATTTTACAGATGGGCTTTGCTGGGTGGGGAGGTTTAGGGGTACACACCACTCCTCTCACTGACCCCTGGCTCTTTTCAAGGTCTCTGGGGGGCTGAGGAAGCAACAGTGTCCCTCCACGGGAACACGGTGCACATGCTAGATGCACTGTCCTGAATTAAGCCCTCTGGTGGCTTCCCTCCTGGAGTGGTAGCAAATGGAGTATCTGCAGGTAAGTTGGAATGGGCAGAATAAGACTTGGACCGGGATAAGATGTGCCTGGGCTGGTGCTACATTTTGGGAAGATTTTGATACATTTACCATAATGAGTTTTTCACGCTGACCTTTCTTAGCTGCTCAACAAATTCCTCCATATCTGCCTCCTTTGACCCCCAATCTTTGGGGGTCACATAGACCTGGATTTGACACTTATGTCTGCCATTCACTAGTTCGTATGACCCTGGAAAAGTTACTTGAGCCCTCAGTTTCCTCATCTGTTAACTGGGGAGGTTCGTGTGACCCTCACAGGGTGGCTATAAATTGTAACTGTGACCACGCCTTTGAAGAGCCTAGTACAGCACCTGGCATATAGTAAGTGCTCAATGCACGGCCATATTAGTGCTGCTAGCCAGACACCAGTATTTCCATGGCAGAGTTGGTGAGTCTGTGTGTGTGGATGCATGTATGATAAACAGAAGGTCTAAACAATGTTCTAGAAAGAGGATGGATCCCTCTGAGGCTCCTGTGTTATGTCTGGGCAGTTTGGAGGTCTTGGACCACAGGGGGCTGGCATGGACGACCTCCACTGCTTTTCTCTTGGGCACATCCACTGGCTTAGCAGCTGTTCTGCATCTAGACCTCGGTGCCCTCCCTGGGGTAGAGGACACCGTTGGTGTTGATGCCGTTGTAGAAGTGAGGGCTGAACTGGTTGAGGACAGAGCCCCCGTAGCCAAGAGCATTGGCAGGCATGGGGTTGGCCCACTCGCTCCCGGCCCCGTGGCTGCTAAGGTTGGTGAGGGGGGTGAAGGAGTTGAAGTTCAGTGAGTTCTGGCCCATCTTGTCGGTGGGCTCCGAGTTCAGTCCCGGCGTGGCCACAGGCCGGCCCATGGGGCTCGCCCCGCTGGTGTAGGCTGTCATGGAGGAGAGGAAGCTGCCGAGGCACGAGGCGCCCGTGGGCGGAGGGGGCGACCGCTTCTCCAAGGGGCTGGTGGTGCCCGGCGAGGTGCTGTCCAACATGTCCTGCGGCTCCGTGCTCTTGGGGCTGCCCACCAGGAGACTGTTCTCCGCCTTCTCTGAGGCCAAGGAGCCTGAGCCGGAGGAAACGTCCGATTTTCTCTTCCTCTTCCTGCGGAAATTTCCGTTGTCGAACATCTTCTCGCAGTTGGGGTCCAGGGTCCAGTAATTCCCCTTGCCTGGCAGAAAGGTGGAAGGAGGTAAGCGGAGAGATGGGCTAGATGTGTTGCTTCTGTCCCTCCTTATTTTCATCAACCAAAGACGGAGGTGACAAAAGCAGCAAGAGGAGAACAAAAGGCAGGGACTGACGTGGAGGGTGCCCTGAGCCGACGGACCACGTTGTCTTTATGTAGCGACCACAGCCAGGCCCTCCAGGACACACAGGCGAGCGGCCCAGGCAGTAAAGGGGTGTACAGGGGGGTCTCTTTAAGAAGGCTGAGACACGGGGGGGTGCTGGGGGCGTGGAGTGCCCATTGCTGAAGTTTAAGAAAACTCAGGGAAAATCCAGGACTCCCTGACAGTCCTGGGCTTGGAGTCCAAAGGCAGACCTGAGTCCCGGCTTTGCTCCTAACTGGGCTAACCTCGGCTTCCCGCTCTGACAAAAGGGGCTTGTCCTTCCTCAGGCTCGCCATGGGGACCACGGGCACCAGACGTGCAAAGCGGCTTCCTAACCTCCAGGAACCATCCCGGGGGAGGCCTGAACTCTTCTCTCGGCCTGAGGGTAGGGCAATCCCTGGCCCGGACACTCGTGCTCTCCTGGGGGACAAATAGGGCTGGACTGGCCCTTGCTAACCTCCAAGTGGGCAGAGGGGGCTCCTCTGAGCCAACCCCGGCTTCCTGTGTCGGAACCAAAGTGGACTTCAGTTCTGAGAAAGGGGTGTGTGGGTACCGAACACACCACTCTCTGCAGGGTTCTGTGCTCCAGAAATGCGACATTAAAAAGTTCTCTATCTCTGGTGTCAGAGAGACCTCGTTCCAATTCAAGCCCCGTCACTATCACTTCATTCGGTGCCACCTTTGGGAGGCACCGTAGGTTTCACATCTGAGTGTTATTTTCCTTATCTGTGGAATGAGTTTCATCAGCCGACCTTGTGGGGTGTCGTGGGGATTAAAGGAGATTAGAGAAACAGGACAGGCAGCAGAAGGGGCCCGGCAGTGGGCGTTTAACCGAGCCAGATCCTTGTTTTTCCCAAGTCAGGCTTGGGAGGCACTTGGCTTTGCGTGGTCCAATCATGCATTCCAAAGCCTTTCTCCGTGCACGGTGCTCAGGGCACGCGTGACGCACAGTGGCTGCTGCAGCCGGTTACGCTGGTGCTAGCGCCAAAGGCCTCACATACATTGTCTTGTTACCTCCGCCACAGCCTGCAGAGTGGACGCTGTTCCCATCCCTGTCTTTCAGGTGAGGAAACAGGCTCAGCCGTCTGTCCTGCTCAGGTCCCTGAGTGGTCCGCGGGACAGCCGCGACTGACCCCCAAACCTGCCCCTGGGCACCCGTCTCCCCCACTGCCGAGCTCGCCTCAGCCCAGCCTCCCAGCAGCCCCCAGTCGTGGGGGGCACGGCCACATTCAGAACTTTCTAGAATGCGGTCTCGGGCAGGAACAAAGCGAGCCTTCCTTGGGGACAGCCCCCCACACTGAGCCCCCTTACCCGGGTCGTCCTCGTCGCGGGGCACCTTCTTGAAGCAGTCGTTGAGCGACAGGTTGTGGCGGATGGAGTTCTGCCAGCCGGCCTTGCTCTTGTTGTAGAACGGGAAGTTGTCGGCCACGTACTGGTAGATCTGGCTGAGGGTGAGGCGCTTGTCGGGCGCCCCGTGGATGGCCATGGCTATGAGAGCCGAGTAGGAGTAGGGGGGCCGCACCAGCTTCATCAGCTCCTCCTGCGAGGGGATGGGCAGCCAGCCCAGCTCGCCGCCCCCCAGCCCCGGCATGCTGGGCAGCAGCTGCCTCTGCACGCCGTAGGCCTGGGGCAGGAAGGGGCTGGCGTTGGCGCCGGGCAGGTAGGGCGGCGGGGTCACGGTGGGCCCGTTGAGCCAGAGGTAGGGGTTGGGGGTGGCCCCGTACTCGCTGCCCCCCTCGAAGGAGGGGGCCCGCTGGGGGCTGGGCACGCCCTGTGGGTGCAAGAAGTTCTCATAGTAAAGGTTCATCTCGGGGGGCTCCTGGCCGATGCTGGGGAACTGGGGGCTGCAGCGAGGCGGGGAGGGCGCCGGCAGGTCGAAGGAGCTCATGCTGGGGCTGGGCCGCCACAGCCACCTGCCTGGCACCTGCGTGGGAGCTGCCCCCGACAGGTGCTCAGCAGGCCCGGCCTCCCACTTATACCCCGAGGGCTTGGCCGGGCCCCACCCAGGGGCGGCCACCTGCCTGCACGCCGGCCCAGGGCCCGCCCCCTCGGCCACCAGCCCGGGGGAGGGGACTTTCCTGGCAGCCCTGGGTCCCACTAGCACATGCCAGCCCGGCTCCGGGAGCCCATGTGAACATGATGGGGCGCCCCCTTCCCTGTCTCTCCTCTCTCCTCCTCCTCTGTCCTCTTTCTCTCCTGCTTCCTCTCCACTTACCCCTTTCTTCCTCCTTCATCTGTCTCTGGTCATCTCATTTTTTCTCTTTCCCTTTTCCTCACACTTTTCCACCCTTCTCGCTTTCCTTCCCTCACCCCTGTGCTCTGTGCCTCTCATTCTTTGTTCCTTTCCTTCTTCCTCTGACGCTTTCTTCCTCTTCTCTTTGCCTCCTATTGTCTTTCTCTCTCTTTCTCTTCTTTCTCTCCAGGTTGTGTTTCTTTTCTATGCCCTGCTCTGGCCTCCCCAGCTCCTGCACACTCTCTCGCTCTGTCTCTCTCTCCTCCCCACTCCTCCCCCAGCCCCCACCCCCTGTTTCTAGTTTCTAGTCTTCTAGTTCTTCCCACTTCTGTCTCTCCCTTCTTTCCTCATTATCTGCCTTCCCGGCTTGTCTCCTTCATCTCTTTTACTCTCTCTCTCTCTGCCTCTCCTTCTCCTTGGGCCTCTCCCTCCCACCCCCGCATCTCCCTCGTCTTCTGCACCGAACCCCCATTCTCTGATCCGCGGCCCCCATTAGACTAGACGAGCGCTTCACGAGAAGTCATTTCTTGGTTTTCTGGGTGAAGACACCTTCTGGAGTTGCCGGGAGAGAACCGGCCCTGGGGAACCGGTGGTGAGTGGAGAGCCTGGCCTCTGGCCCGCTTCACGGGACAGGCGGTCACGGACTCCCCCCGGCCCGGCCCACGCGTGTGAGCACACGCGCACACGCTGCACGGGGCAGAGAGGAACAACAGCAGGGGGAGAGTGGGGGTCGGACTCCAGGGAAAAACGAGAGAGGATTTGAAGGATTCAAGTCTCTTTCCAGCGGCAGGGACTCAGCAGGCTCGTCCTCTGACCCAGAGTCCAGCTGAGTTCCAGCTTGCAGAGGTCCCCGTTGCAGAGGCTCCTGGCGTGGAGGGAGCGAGGCCAGGAGGATGTCCCCAACTGCCGCTGCCCTCACACCCTCGCTCCCTCAGGCTCCAGAAGCGGGATCTGCAGCCCCGGCCGGCATCTCAGCCGGTCCTTCTCTCCGAGCTCCATTCCCCACTCGTCCCGGCCTCCCCTGGTCCCCAGTCCCGGCCCCCAGCCTGGGGCGTGGGTGGTGGTCTCCCTCTCCAGAGGGTGGACACCTGCGCCCTGACCAGGGCCTGGTGGCAGCCGAAACTTCTCTTTGTGATCAGGCAGACGGGGGATAAGCAGGAGCAGCCCCTCTGGTCACCCCTCCTCCCTGCCCTCCTGCCTCTACCGCCTTCTCCTCTCCACCTTCCTCCCGCTTCCTCCGGACCTCGTGTTCCTTTGAGGCCAGGGAAGGAGGTCACTTACTGTCCCAACTGGGGGGGTGTTTCCCAAGAATCCTCAGCTCTCTGCTCCCCCACGGCTGTGTGGGGGACACACGTGGCAAACACGAATGCCACTGAATGAGTTTCATTTTCAGCCCCTTGGGGTCCAGAGGATGAGTTCGAGGTGACTGGGTGGGAGGGGTCTCCCCAGGCCCTGAGGAGCCACCTGTCCCCCCATGGAACAGTGACGGGGGTGACTCCGAAAGGGTCTGATTGCCCAGGTAAGCACACTCCGCAGAGTAAAGCCAAAGAGGCCACATTTCTGTTTGGAGTTTCTCTACCAGGAGGCCTGGCTTGCCGGGAGAGGGGGGACCCTAACTTTTCACGGTCTCATGGAGCAGACCCAAAGCCTTACGATTAACCCAGCAATTTCACTTCTCAAAGCTCATCTTATAGAATTAAGCAGAGCAAAGAATTAACTACAGAGATGTCCACTACAGCATTGTTTATAGCTGTACCAAATTGTAACTAATCTAAATGCCCAATAATAAGTGATTGGCTAAATAAATAATGTATCATCCAAATGACATAATATTATGCAACTATGAAAAATAGATTGTAGAAGAATAATTTGTGATATGGAAAGATATTTATGTTCTCCCCTGATATTATTTGGAGAACCAGGCTGCAAAATACCATGATATTTTTGTAAAAACATGTATTCATATGTATATATGAAATCTAGAAATACAAATATAAAATTGTCAATTATTATTTCTGGATAAAGAATCCGATGCGATTGTTGTTATTTTAAATAATTTAAAAGATCTATATGATTAGAGAGCAGCAAGCTCACAGGTGATTTGCTTTTTGGGTTAAGTGTCAAAGGACAGAAAGGGGCCACCCAGCAGGGATGTAGCAGACAGGAGCTCTGAGATCAGTTCTCGGTGCACATCCCAGCCGTGGTGCTGAATAAGCATGTAGATCTTGACAGGAGATTAAGCTTCTCTCAGCCTCGGTTTTCTTGGGTGGAAATGGGAATGAGGCCAGCACTGCTCTGTGCACTCACTGGGCAGTCCATGCAATCAACCTAAGTCACTTCGCGTGGCTCACTGAGGCTCACTCAGAAAATACGGGTTATTACACGTTATAGTCAATACACTATATTGCTATGCGCAGGGGAGCACTCCCAAGCTTGCTGCCCTGCGAGTTAATTGATCCCTTTCAGCAGCCCGCAGGCAGGGGAGGTGTGACAGGAATTGCGGTGAATGAATAGAGGGAGGAATAATCAGTGTAGACACCGACTGTACAGCCAGATTCTGCCGTCTGCGGACGGCGGTCAGAGAGGGCCCAGAGCCCACAGTGCACGGCTGAGCTAGGCCAGGACCCAGTCTGTCCACACCGTTCCGCTCCCCTTGGCCCGTCTCTGGGGTCTTTTTCCTTAGCAGCATTTTCTGGGGAATTTGCACCTGTCTCCCTAGGTGCCTGTGGGTCCCAGTTTCTTTTGCACAGGACATCATAGAAAGCCTGGCCTGTCTTAGGAGGCCTTGTCTACAGTGAGAGCCTCTGGCACCCAGAGCCAATAGCTGGGTATCGCAGCCTCCCTGCACTTAGCAGGGGTGCCCGAAGCATCCTCAAAGGGCCCCTCATTCCAGATTTTTATAAATGCCAGCTGCAGCCCTTGGTGGGGGACAATAGGAGCTTCTACCTCCAGTGAGGTTTGGGAGTTGCAGCCCCGAAGCCCCCTGACCAGTCCCAGGAAAAGAATCAAATGTCTCTATTGCCTGGGGTCACTTCATAGATGAAATTAATTGAGACTTCTGAAATTTCTAGAAGTGAAAGTTCAAGCCTGAGAAAATGTTCTCTGCCTATCATTTTTTATAATGAATAAAAAATAAGAGTTGTGTGGGCAGGGGCTGCAGCTTGCATCCTGAAAACCAGAGGGAGGTCTTCTTGAATGAGAAAGACTCCAAATTGGGATACTTGAGACAAGGCAACAGACCATTAAAAACATGGGTTTTGGGACTGGATGGACCTGGGTTCAAATCCCTGCTTTGCTATTTGGTAGCTGTATAATCGTGGTCAAGTACCTTAATCTTATAAGGCCTCCATTTGCTTATCAATAAAATGGGGATACAAATAGTACCTGTCATGAATTTTGAAGGGAAAAGTGATGTAATATATGTAAAGTGTAGAGCCCAGAGTCTGGCAAAAGCCGTGGAAAAGGATGATGGTGAATGCCGGAGAACCTGAGGCCAGGTATGGATAGGAAGGTGGCTCTGGGCAGGAGGCCCAGCATCATAGCCTCCTCTGAGCAACGTTTTACCATTTGCTTTCAACTTGGGAAAACCTTGCGATTTGGAAGCCATGTCCCCAGTGAAGGAGAAAAGGCCTGCCTCTCTTTCTGGAGTATGTGCCCAGTGGTCAGCTGTAGACACTGCCGGGTCCAGAAGCCCACCCTGGCTCCAGATCTGCAGAAAGGGTGACCGTGATCAACCAGGGCCATCATTTGTGGCCTTGATTTTCGGGGGTGGAGAATCCTGCTCTTCTAGGCGTCTGATCTCAGCCTCAGTTTCCTCATCTGTAAAATGGGGAGAACCAACTACTTCCGAGTGTTGCTTTGAGGACTGTCAGGCGTGCAATACTGTATAGGCTCAGTAAATGTCACCTGTCATTAGGGACTCAGGAGCCCAGGGTGATGGGACATGCTAGTGGCCCCCAGCTGGAGCTACAACATCCCCAAGCTCTTGGACCTTTACCTACCTCTCCCCAAACTCACCTTTGATAGGGTTTGGCTACGTGGGCTCTTTCTCCTTTCTTCGCACAAAATGCAAAAGTTTCTAAGTTCCAGGGTTCTCAGGAGCCTGGCAGGGTTGAAGTTTGTTTGGGATGGGGCGTTGGGGGGTGAGGGACTAGTTGGCTTCTAGCTTAACCTCTTTGCACCACGGTTCCTTTATCTGCAAAGTGGGGATAAAAATTGCAGTCCTGCCTACTGTTAGTATCTACAATGGCTCTCTGAGTGGCAGGGGGCTTCCCGTCCTGCCTAAGCAGCAACGTTTTGAGAGTCATTCTTGGGATACTTTGGGGCTTGACATGGGGCTGGCTTCTCCTTCCCAGGCGTGGGCCTTGTGGACGTGTGGCCATGGCGTTAGTCAGGCTGGAGATGGTCTTGGCGCGGCTGCTTTTTTGGCGTCTGGCCATCCTGACTGAAGAAGCGTAGATCAACACCGCCCTCTGGTGGCCTTTTCTCTAACAGCGGGAAGCGAAGTGTGGGGCTTGGGTGAAGTTTCAGGGTGGGCCAAGAATTTTCTTCCAGGCCCTTTAAGGATAGGAGACCAGAATGAGAAATTTAAGTGTCAGGTTCCCAGGATGAACAGCTTAGAGAAAAAGGCCTTCCCTCTGCTGCCGGGGGAACAATGAGAATGCACTGGAAACGGGGAGACACGTCTCAGCAGGCAGCCCAGCAGTA